TCAGGACCTCCAGAACCCCAAAAAACCGGGCGAGCCCATGGGCACCCAATGGGTACCCAAAGGGCACCCAAAGGGCACCCCGTGGGCACGCTGGCATGGAGCCACGGGTTTTCACCCCTCAGCAGTGATCGCAGCCCTTGAGTCATGAGCGGTGCTGAGTGCTTCCTTTGTGCAGCATGGAAGGATGCCCAGGCTGAGCTATCTGAGCTGCGCATCGGGCTCTTTCTTCACACAGCTTCTTACACAGCACGCTCTGTTGCTGGGCTATAGGGAATTTTTGTGCCGGGCCTTTTGACGTGAACCCTTTTAGAAAGAAAATCCTGACTCATGGAGCCGTGACGTTAAATATAGTGCTGTGTAAGGCCTGACACAACTGGACACTTGACAGCGGGCCGCCCCAAGTCCAGCCAGAAGAATATAGGCATTTTGAGACCTGAATATATCTTCTTTTGTACCTTTAAGCGAAGGGAAGCCTTAGCAAATGCCTTAGTAACGAGGGTCACCCAAGTACAGTGTCTCCCACTGGAGAGTTAAATAAGAGAAATGAAAAAATAATGGTTTTCCCTCTTCCTCTGCAGTGGCCAAATATGCTGATTCCCTTCTGGAATGAGCAGCTGCCAATTTCAGAGCAGAAAATCTCTTGTAGCCAAGTAACTCGGATCTTGCGCTCTGTAAAACAGCCTGGGAAAAGGAAAGCAGGCCAGCCAATCCACTGCAACCAGTAGGTAATGGTGCTCCCCAGCACGGCGATTTGCACGCAAGCTGGAATCTCTTTGAAAGCAGAAAATGGGCTTTTCTGTGTCAGAGCCATGCCCATGCCTGGCCCTGCTCTGCACGGAGTTCTGCAAAGCCCCACGGGCTGCCTGCGTGTCAGCTCCAGCTCCTGAGCTTCTCTGAAGTTTGTGTGCCTTTGGGCGCTCACATCTGGGCCTACCCAATGGGTGCAGAGATGCTAAGTGTGTCTGCTTTTTAGTTTGCTTGCTTCTTTGCCTTTTTTTTT